ATTAACCATTGAAACAAACTAGCAAGGGAAGTTGTGGATTACCCATCTTTTTCAGGTTTGAAAATGAAGAATCGATATCTTTTGGATAGGCATAGTTTATTCAAGCAAATTCTATGACCTGTCTTATGCAAGGTTCAAACTGGATTGTCCCCTACGTAACTAAATAGCTCAAAGGGCTTATTTCTGAAATCATTGTCTTGGGTTTATTAGCCAAAAGTTGCTATTGTTCACTTTACTATTTGCTCAGCTCAGACTTGGATAATAGATGAACAAATAAACAAAGTCAGACTATTTATTCTTCAATTTCAAATACCACACTCTCTTAGTAAAAATATACATAATGAAAACATACTTTTGTAAACTACTTTTGGAAAGACAGAAGTAACATTTGCCCCATGTTTTTAACTGCTTTGTTTAAATTCATTTTCTGGACTTTATACAGCAGGAAAGGTCAGTGTTAGGACTCATTCTCCATAAAATTTAGAGTAATTATGATTGTAAAGTCCAAAGTTTCTCCATATCACATTCATGGAATCTGAGATCTGAATTTTGGTAACACTTCTGGTGAAACTGAATAATCAGAACATAAAGTCTATGCTATGCTAGGATTTTCAGATGGGTATGAATGGAGCAGGATTTCACCCTGAGTCATTCTGAGTGCCTTAATTTTTGTTGTTCAACTTGATACATCTTAAAAGAGCTAGATTATCAGTGGTGATTATTCAGTGCTTTCAGAGTCATTTTAAAATTTTTCAAGCTGGGCATCCAAAATAAACACTTGAAAATCTTGTCCACTGTCGCTCTTACATGCCTCTTCATCAAATTTTGCCTATATTTTGTGACATACCATTTACTCAGAATGCACCAAGAACAAGCCAACATTGCTTAATGGGGTAGTACTGTCTAAGACACCATGCCCACAGCCGGTCACCATTATAGGATAATCTAAGTATCTTGCTCATATTTACCTGTAGTTAGCCAGATTTTCCAAATCTGAATCCTATCACATCCAGAAATCTCCATTTTTATATGTGAACTGACTATAGGACCTTTTTATTTTCTCTACTACAATAACTATCCAGAGTATTAAGGAAATCTCTCCTCCCCACCCTGCCCCCAAAAAATCATATGCAAAATGGTTTCTTTCCTTCCCCATTTCTTAATGAGCATCATAAGTACACCTTATTGACCTCATCTACTTAGCAATACTGTGAGGGAGTGGAGTCTCTTTTTCATTTTATTTGGAAGTTCATGGAATTCTTTATATAATCCATAAAGACACCCAATGTAATAGTTACACCTACATCATTAATATTTCCTATCACTTCCCTATGTGTGAACTATGTACTATTGATTTTCTACAAGGGAATAAAAGGCTCTCTGTTAGAGGGCTCCCCACTGCAAGAACAGAAGAGAGAACTCTACTTCTGATAGTACCTAAAGAGGTATCTCTTCAGAGAGCTGTAATTTGAGGCTGAAGAGGGCTCCAGAACTCTTAGTAGTGATTATATTAGTGTGGTTTAATTTGTATCTTAAATAATGTCATCATGTATCCATTCAGAGTCCTACATTAAATCCACTACTATGTTATTTTAAAAAATACAGCAAGAGAAAGAGATTATAGTTCGCTCATCCTCCTTCATTTTTACAGTTATTTTACCTGCTACAATTATAAGCTATAATTAATATAAATAATAAAGTACTTGGCCTACATTGAAATAACTTTAAAATGTTGACAAGTCAGAGAATAACCCTGCAAGGCATGTCATACAAAGCAGCATTAAAACTGTAAATTCTGTAAGTACTGGAATCTATTATGTACACATGAAACATGCATAAGCAGTAGAAATATAGGATCTTAAACTTATCCTGAAAGCTTGTACTTAGTTGTTGGGACATAGATTGTAATCATAATCATCAAGCATCAATTTAATATGCTTCAAATATAAAACATTTTTTAAACCATTCCATATACCTGCCTTAGTATCAACTCCCCTGCTAAAATTAAGAAAGAAAACTATTTATTTAACAGTTGGTGTGATGGGTTCAATCACAGAGGTATCCTTGGGGCTTCTTCCGGTGTGCTGACCTTGCCCCTAAGTCTGCCCACCTGCCCTCTGGGGCACCCCACCACCGTGTTCTGCTGGGCTAGAAGTTCTGGTCTCCCTCAGGCAAGGTACAAAATGGTGGTAACAGCCCCCTAGCAGAGAGACAAAGATGCTGAACCAGCTGAGCAGGAGACAGCGGGGAGGCACCCCAGGGACCAGGTAGGCAGGCTCAGTGATCAGCACACACATTACTCTAAGTCAGGCATGTCCAAAGTCCGGCCCGTGGGCCAATTGCGGCCCGTGTTCGGTTTAATAAGGCCCCACAGGTAATTTGGCAATATCTATCTTTTATGGCCCCCAACAAATCCATATGTATTGAGATGAATACATTGTAAAATCTCAGTTAATGTCAGTTGGTCTAAATCAGTTATAAATATATTTGGACACAACATGTATACTTGGTGTTATGTTCCTGTTCATATTTTTTGAACTTAAAAGTTGACAGACAACCTTTATTACCAATAATATGTAATGTACTTTACATTGTTCCTGACGTATATTTCAGCTTCCTGGATTTTTTTTTCATCTGGCCTTCAGATATGAAAGGCAGAGTGATTTAACACCTGTTTAGATTTGTCATCCATGTGACGAAATGAAAAGTATGCCGTTTGCAATAAACTTTGCATAAAATAGTTAATTTGCATTTAATTTTAATGGTTCAAAGAATGTCAGGCAAAATGGTCGGCCCTCTTTGATGTTCACTTCATCAAATCTGGCCCTCTTTGAAAAAAATTTGGACACCCCTGCTCTAAGTACTTAATATTAAAGTGGGGGAGGTCAAAGTTAGATATTAGGAAAAACCATTTTACCAGGAGGGTGGTGAAGCACTGGAATGGGTTACCTAGGGAGGTGGTGGAATCTCCATCCCTAGAGGTTTTTAAGCCCTGGCATGACAAAGCCGTGGGCTGGAATGATTTAGTTGGGCTTGGTCCTGCTTTGGGCAGGGGACTGGACTCATTGACCTCCTGAGGTCTCGTCCATGCAGATTGGACGCTCTCTTTCAAAAAAGCAGATTGCTTTTTCAGTCCAGTTTTGAGGTGTGGATGCTTTCTTTCAAAAGAAACTTTTTCAAAAGAGCTCTTTCGAAAAAGCTTCTTTCGAAAGGAGCTTGCAGTCTAGACGTACCCAGAGTGCATGATGGCACCTGAAGGAGGGGGAAAGTTAACAGAGTAAGGAAGATTCTGTGCAAGTCTTCCTCACGTTAATAATCTTCATATAGAAAGCAGTTTCTGAGGGCCAGTTGCCTACAAGAAGTATACTTATCCCATTTAAAATTCATCATAACTTCCATATTTTACCTATGTATTCAAATACTGACCTATGTATATTACAAATTCCTTTATGTCACTTGTTGAACAATCATCCCAGCCATTCATCCCTTGCTATTTGCAGTCAGAATTTTGTATGGCTAATATGAATAGAAATGTGTATGAAGCTGAACTCTACATGCTTCCAATCAAAATACATTGCATGAAAGTGTATTATTAAGCATGATTCTAATATTGAGATGAAAGTCTGTTTATAATAATTTGGTAAATGTTGCTTATTTGAAGAAAGTGATTTTGTACTTGGCTTCACTAAAACCAGAATTGGTTTGGGATAGGTGGGGTAGAGGAATGCAAGATGATCATTATCTTTTAGTACTGTTATTCTTTCGCTTGATTGCTTCAGATATGAACTTGGAGTTGTTTTCACAGGTGATTACCTCTAGAAATGGACAGTCATCCCAATATGACCAGAAGATGACTTGCTACTCTGCGAGATCAGAGGGTCTGTGCCTTGACAGGTGATTTAATTGCCTTTGGTTGTATTATGCTCAGAGAAGTGGACCCCACTTGACTGATTTCACCAATAAAGAAGAATTATTCATTATATATTGTATTTACTAAGAACTAGCAATAACAGTACCTATTAAGACTTGGCAATTATTTTATCTTTTGTTCTTTTGATGATGATAGTCCTATGAAATCTACTAAACACAGCATTCCCTCTGATGACTTAGAGCATGCAGAATGATATGATACCAAGGGGGACACAGTGTCAATTATATATGAGCATGACAACATCTAAGTAATCAGTATTAATACTTGTCAATTGTTTAGTCCTCTGTTATCAGGTGTGTCTGTCCCACACTGGTATTGTGAGGGTTAACAGCACTCTTTGGACAGAGGAGGCCATGCCCTTGGAGCCCTGCTGAGCATGCTCCAACTGGAAATTAAACCAAGGCCTATGGACAGAGAATCCAGCTGTGCAGCCATCACAGTCTTTGCCGGAGGGAACCAGAGACCCAGAGAGACTGGAGGACTGTGGCTGATGGAGCTGCAAGGAGTGGGGAGGAGCCTGAGAACCCCGATGTTCAAAAGATTCCAGCATATGGAAGTGTGGTAGCAAGTGACACAGGGAGGATGTGTGAGTGTTACCTTCCATCCAAGTGAGGTCAGCATCTATTAGTGGCAGTCCCCTCTAACTCACCAGGTACTGGCCACCAGTAATGAAATTAATCTTGGACATGCTATATAGACTCTCTCTCCATAGGGACAGACTGTCCTGCATCTAGGAGCTGTTCTATAGGCTCTGGCCATTGAGCAATACTATCCTGCATCTAAGGACTACGGGACTGTTTCTAGTCATTAGGCCGCACCATCCTATACACAAAGGTTCCTGTGATTGACACTGGCTGTTAGGCTATGCTGCACTGCATGTAAGGACATGACCATGGGGACGTAATTATTTCGCCCTGCCCCAAGAGGGGACAGGGCACACCTACCCCATGACACTTTCCCTTACCAGAGCAGATTTTGCATGCAGTAGAATTGTCACAAATTTCTAATGAAGAATAAAGAAACATCTCTGAAAATGTTTAAGCTCACTAAAGAAAAATGTGCAACATACCTATACTCCAATCCATTTCCTCTACTGCATCCCCATACAATCCATGTTTGCTCTTTCCTTTGAAATCCTTTGATGCATATAGAGGAGTATGGACTTGAAGGTAGGACAGGAAAAGAAGAAATGGTGCATCAGTGTTCCTGAAACACAAAAATAAAAATGAAATAAACAGAACACCTACAAGTAAATAACTTCAACAGAAATAAAATGCTAGCAACATTTCTAACAATTCTAGAAAGATAGCCTTTTTACATGTAGAATCTACAGCAGGGGTTCCCAAACTTTTTGACATGGGGACCAGTAAATCCATTCACGAGCTTTTGGAGAACCAGTAACATTCATTTGCATATTTTCATATTCATTAAGCAAATGATGAATATCCAAATAAGTTGTTTCTGGTCCTCCCAGAGCCCCCAGTGCCAGCATTAGCAAAGCTTTTGATACGGTCACCCACAATATTCTTGTCAGCAAGTTAAGGGAATATGGATTAGAGAAATGGACTGTAAGATGGATAGAAAGCTGGCTAGACCAGAGTTTCCCAAACTTTTAACTTTAGTTGGAACCCATTTTTTTTTCCAGTACTGTTTTTTGCAGCCCAAAAATATAAACACATATAAAAAAAAGAATGAAAAATGAATAAATTTTCAGTGTTTCACCCGGCTGCATCCTATGCCCAGCCTGGGCCTGGGGTTGGGGGACCTGGCACTGCATGAGCACTCCACGAGGCGGGAGTAGGAGCAGACTGGGGGTAGGGTATCTGGCTAGGAGGGAGGGTGCAAGGAGGGGTAAGGTTGCCAGGTGTCCGTTTTTGTACCGGACAGTCTGGTATTTGAGGGGGGCAAAATGGAATCCCTGTGACCAGATTCACTTGTGTGCCTGGATCTGCATGTGCCCGGGTCAGTCCCACTTCCCACTGGCTGATTCGTTCCCCCGCCCCTTCTCCTCCCGATCTCCCCTGTCCAGCCCTGCTGCCCCCGTCCAGCCCTACTTCCAGTGGCTGGTTCTCCCGTCCTCCTCCTCACGATCTCCCCTGTCCAGCATCCCTCCCCACCCCCGCGCCATCCCCTGGCCATTCCACTGCCCTCATCCAGCCGTGCTTCTGGAGGCTGGTTCTCTCATCCTCCTTCTCACAATCTCCCTCCGTCAAGTCCCCCCGCACCGTCCCCTGGCCAGCTGTTCTTCTCGAGGCTGGTTCTCCAGTCCTCCTCCTGATCTCCCCTGGCCAGGCCCCCTGCCCCCCGTCCAGCCCTGCTTCCGCTGCCCACCTGCCCCAATCTCCACCGGACAGCCCCACTGCCCCCAACCCTGCTTCCTGGTGGCTTGTTCCCTCCCCATCCCCCCCACACCTCCTCTCAGTCCGCCCCGCTCCCCTCCTGGCAGCCGCCCCACCCCGCCCCCGCCCTCCCGGCAGCCACGCTGAGGCCCGGTATTTTTTTCCCGTGGCCTGGTATCGGGCCACGACCCATAGTTTGGGAAACGCTGCTCTACAGAACAGAAGAAATATTATATAGAGGAAGAGGCTATTATAAAATCATTTACAGAGCAATCCTGAAACCTCATGTTAGATATGTCACTTAATACATACCCACCCCGCCCCCGCCCTCCCGGCAGCCACGCTGAGGCCCGGTATTTTTTTCCCGTGGCCTGGTATCGGGCCACGACCCATAGTTTGGGAAACGCTGCTCTACAGAACAGAAGAAATATTATATAGAGGAAGAGGCTATTATAAAATCATTTACAGAGCAATCCTGAAACCTCATGTTAGATATGTCACTTAATACATACTCTAAGTAAGAAATACTGTCAAGTTAGATTAGTTCTTATAACTGTTCAAAAAACACTGGTATGACTATTGTATAAAGTCAAGTTCTACAACAGCCTGGCCACTTGCCTTCATTTCTGCACATTATCATTACCAATTCAGGCTCTCTCTGACCTACCAGAAAACCCTAGAAAAATGAATAGTGTAAAAGATATACAATCCATGAACCAAACAAGATGCTTAGTCAACTTTCTTCTTGACACACTCAGCATATAGACATTTAATATATCATAGAATTAGCATTAGCAATAGGGAATATATATATATATATGTTATATATATATATAGAGAGAGAGAGAGAGAGAGAAAGAGAGAGAGAGAGTGCCATCATTCTGAAACAAATATAATACAGGAAGCACCTCCTTAAACTGGGACTCGATCATCCAGCAAGACAAATGCAAGCAGCTGAGAGCCCCGGGAAAGGGGAGGCTGATGGTAGCAGGGCCAGAGCCTCAGCAGACCAACAGCAGCAGCGAAGCCGTGGTAGCAGGAAAGGGGCAGCCAGTGCGTGCTGGCCTGACAGCTGGGTTGTGCCACGGCAGCCCGAGTGGGGCTGCGTGCTGGCCTGGCAGTGGGGACAGAGCCGTGGCTGCCTGGCTGGCAGCAAGGCTGGCCTCCGCAGCCCAGCAGGGGATGCCTGTCTGGGACTACAGCAGTTATGGCAGCGGAGCTGATGCAGCCCTGTCGCCCGGCTGGCAGCGGGGCTGAAGGACCCAAAAGCGGGGAAGGGCAGCAGGCTTAGGGAGCCGGTGGCAGGGGACCGTCCGTGGTCTAGCAAATTCCCTCATCTGGGACTGCTCAGATCCCGAGGGTGCCAGGCCAGCGAAGTTCAACCTGCAGTATCACAAAAACTATGTCTAATATAAAATTTTGGAGATTTGGAAAAGAATATTTTCTCTAGTAATAGTATCCACTCATTTCAAGCCATTTCCTCATTGGATTATTTTCCAATAAAATATAAAATCCCACAACAATGACAACAGAGCTTCAGTTTTGCTCCTCAGGGGATCTGACAATATATATGTCTTAATCCAGAAGGCTTTGAAGGGAAATCTTAGATAAGTATGGATTTTTGCATTAAAATCCTAGTGTGGGGGACACTACTCAGTACTAACAATGATAGGTTGAGTTTATAGTTATGATACTCCACATGCTGTCAATTTCAACTGAACCATAACAGCAATTAGGGAACAGTGTGTTTAGGCTGGCTCCTTGTAACACACCGGTCAGACTTTTTTTCCCCTCTGTTGTTCATTTCCCCATACTATAGTGCTTATACATGGTCAACTTCTGATAGTTAAAAACAAAACCCAACCCATACCCAAAACACAGTATTAACAGGCATCTGGTCAGCAAAACAATGCAATAAACATTACCCTTTTCATTAAGAAGGGTTTCTTTTTTCAGCCCTAAAGAGCTGAAAACCCCTGTCTAAAGCCCATTAGTGAAAGGAACTGCTATGAAACCCATGTTGCATTCTAAAGAAAAACAAACAAATACATTATTCTGGTGTATGTATGTATCTATCCACCCCATTCCCTTCCTGTTGGCTACGGCTGTTTCCATGAGAAATCATGGCTGTTTCTGTGATAAAAAATGCTATCCCTTCTGTTTGCTGAGAATTCATAGATTCCAAAGGCCAGAATGGATCACTGAGATCATTTTTTCTGACTGCCTGTGTATCATAGGCAATACAACTTGCCCAAACTATTTCCTACAGCATATATTTCAGAAAAATAAAATAAAAAATATGTTGTCTTAATTCTCTGAGCATACACCGACTAGAGCTCATCACAATGTTTCCATCAAAATTGTTTTTGATGGACTACACGAATTTTTCCTCATTAATTCATCTACTTTCTCCAGAAAAAGTTTTGCTATAAAGATGAACACCCCTAAAACGATTATTTGGAAATATATCTCGGGATTGGTAACTCAAATTTTACATTTAATTCAGATTCTACTCTATAGACAAAGTTCCAAAAATAGACTATAATTTTTACCCCTCATCTGGATTCTTGTGGGAGGGAATAATCTGGTCCTTGGCTCTCATTGGGTATGTCTGCACTACCCCGCTAGTTCGAACTAGCGGGGTAATGTAGGCATACCGCACTTGCAAATGAAGCCCGGGATTTGAATTTCCCGGGCTTCATTTGCATAAGC